GCCCTTGGAAAAGAGCTTTCATATACAAGGTGAACCAAAAGTCTTAATGCAGTTTTAAACTCTAATAGTTTAAAATATAGTAAAATTTTTTTATAGTATATCTTTTCATTTGAGCCTCACAACAACGACTGGTACCTGACACATAGTAGGTGCTTAATAAATGCTTGTTGATTGAATAAAAATGGAGGATAGGTTGGGTCCTTAATATAATCCTCATTTTAGAGATAAAAAGTGAGGGCCAGGGCAGTTAAAAGGCTCTTGCCCAAGGTTGCACGGCTAGCTAGCAGAAGAATTCAGGACTTTAAATTCCCAGCTCAGTGCCCTTTCAACCACCCCAAGTCAGTGAACCTAGGAGACACTTCATTCTATGCCAGAGAGAAATCTAACCCTACTGGTACTATTGCAATGCAGAGTGAAATCTACCATGGCCTCCAAAGCCCAGGTGAGGCTTTTTACTCCAACTCCTCATGATTCCTATGGGACAAAGGTCCTGGGAACACAAGAACTACGAAGGTAACACGATCCAGACATCTAACCATCAAGTGTTCTTTCCATGGTAACAAATGTCAGCTGTTCTCTACCGGTGTTCACAAAGCCCTCTAAGACACCAGACATACTGGAACAAGTTGTGGTAGATGAATGCAATGGAATACTATTGTTCTTTAAGAAATGATGAGCAGGCAGACTTCAGAAAAACCTGGAAAGACTTAAATGAACTGATGCTGAGTGAAATGAACAGAACCAGGAGAACATCATACACAGTAACAGCCACATTGTGCAATGACTGACTTTGATAGACTTGGCTCTTTTCAGCAATTTAAGGATCTTAGACAACTCCAAAAGACTCATGATGGAAAATGCTATCCACATGCAGAGAAAGAACTATGGTGTCTGAATGCATATGGAAGCACACTATTTGCTCTCCTTTTCTTTTGTTGTTTTGTCTTATTGCTTCATTCTCGTGGTTCCTCCCATCAGTTCTAATTCTTCTTTACATCATGACTAATGGGAAAATTTGCTTAATATGAATGTATAAGTAGAGCCTATATCAGATTGCATGTTCTCTTGGGGAGGGGCGGGGAGGAGGAGGGGAAGAAAATTTAAAACTCAAAATCTTATGAACGTGAATGTTGAAAAACTAAAAATAAATAAATAAATAATTTTTTTAAATGAAGAAAACACCAGACGCCATTTCTCTCTTCATTTTTGTCAAGGTCACTTTCACAAATTTCCTACCTCCCACAAGGGGCTTCAGTGTAGTGAAGTTACATTAAAGTCAAGTCTTGAAAATCACACAACTGAGATCTAACCCATGATAATATTCACTATATTTTTTCCCTGCCAACTTTTCTGGCAACTCAAGGAAGCCACAAATATAAGACCAAAATCACACAATGTTAGCCCTGGAGGGGAAATTAGGGATCATATAATAAATACGTGGCAGAACTTGAACCAAGGTCCTCTGCTTCTAAGTCTGATACTCTTTCCAAGCCACCATGCTTGCTTCCCCACTGAAAACAATTTCTTACCAATCTAACCTTCAAAACCATACTGATCGACCTTCTAAGCTTACTAGTCAGACTAGAAAAAGAGCCAAGAGGCTCAATGCAACTTTCCTGGGGTCCAAGGGCCTGAACTGGTCTCCTATCATCTGGAAATGGAGAAACAGAGCTGAAATTACATTTCAGAATTGGGCTCTCCCAAAGCTGTGGGCCTCCAGCTGCTCAGCTCAAAGATTCTTACATTCCACGCCTGCTTAGTGGCCTGTCAGCTCTAGTTTCATGTCAGGCTGAATCTGGTCTTGATTAGTGCCGTGGGCTCAGAAAGGCCAGCTTGTAGTCAGCGATGCTTTCCCTGGTTAACGAGCCCCTCTAGCTCCTCCCAGAAAACCCTATAAACTGTCTGCCCCTCACTCCAGTCAGGCTCCAAATGAAACAAAAGCCACACATTGCCGGTGTTTATAGATTTGATTTAATTGAGTTTTTAATTATTAAAAGTGAGACCAGTCGGGAAGGGATTTAGTGAATCAAGAATTAGAGTAACACATCATTGAAGGGGAAAAAATTCTCCCAAGTCTCCCAAAGCCAATTAGTTTGTGTTTTGGAAGTGAGGGTAGTGGTCAAATTGAGCCTGAGGGAGGCCTCTTTGCTCTCAGCCTAGATTTTAATAAGGGAGTGAGGGGAGGGTGCTCCATAAGTTTCCTTAAGCTTGCTCAGCAGTCGAGTATAGAGAATAATGAGAACTCGTTTAGCAAAGCAATTCTATTAGACTAGAGAGAACTTTACTCCTAAGAAACAGGCTGTTCTTTATAGCCAAGGTGAGGGCCACAAACATGGAAATCCAAAAGATAGCCTTTCTCTCATGGAAGCTCCAGAGCAGATCAAAAATAATGCCAATTGCTTCTAGAGATTCATGTTAAGGGCATCTTCAAGGCCAGTCTTGTTAAAGCAGAATTGGTGTCTGACTTTCTTGATTAATTGCAGCTTTCCCCCCCCAAAAAAAATTCTATCTATGCTTCAGAAGAGTTACTGTGCAGTCCCAGTCCCTCCCACGTTGTAAATCATGGCTTTTTGGTTATGTCATGCACAATTTTTCCTACTGGCTGTTAAGGCTGGGCAATTACTGCACAACGTTCTTGGTTTTAAAATGTCTGCCACCTTTCTGCTCACCAGTGGTATCGTTTGCCCAGGGAAATTCTCCTTGGCCAGATGTCATATTTGGAACTAGTCCTCAAGTACTATTTTGGTGGAGTTATTTCATAGTCATTTCCTCTGGTGAAAAGAACCACCTATGTGTTTTAACTCTAGTTCACAAGGTAGTGCCATGACAAAGATGATATTACAGCAGGAAACAGGTAACCTGTCTATTATGTTGTCCTGGGTTAAGCAATGATGCTGCCCATGACAGTGGAGTTTCTCAGTGCAGGCCCTACGCTCAAGACCATGGCTACATGGGAAGAAGGGAGAAGTCCATGTGCCTTGTCCTGCATAGTAAGAAGGGAGTAGTCTATGCGTCTTTCATAGGAAGAAGGGAGCTATAGGCCAGAAATCACTGGGGAAGGAAAAAGTATTGAAAGCAAGAGAAATAAAATAACGAGTAGTCATAACAAAGAGGAAAGAATAGAACTGAAGAAACTTTCTGGCTGGGGGAAGGGAGAATAGGGCTCCCCATTACACATGGGGGATAGAGAGCTGGGTTCAGGATCAGGAGGATCTTGATGGTGTGTTCAAAACCCATCTCAGATAAATTCTAGCTGTGTGAATCTTGGCAAGTTCCTTAATCTCTTAGTGCTCCCAGGCAACCCCCTAAAAATATAAGCTGTAGAGTAGTTGTTCATCCCAGTTGTAGAAGCTTCCTCATTGGGAGTTCCCCCAAAACAATGATACCACAAATCTAAAAGCATTTTAAAATGTGAAGACCCACACTCGGGTTCAAGGAATTAACTGAAAAAGTGAAAGATGGAGGAGACATGGCTTCACAACAGTTTGTACAAAAAAGAGCTGAAGGTTTTGATGAATAGCAAACTCAGCATGAGTCAACATGGTGACATAATAGTCATGAAAAAATAATTTCATATTAGGCTTTCTTAATAGGAAAATAATGTCCAAAATGAGAGAGGTGCCCCTGCCAGAGCACAGCTAGAATATTCAGTTATAGGACATCATTTTAGGAAGGCTGTTGATAAATTGAATCATGTCCAGAGGGATGTGTCCAGGTCACAAGAAGCCTGGATACCATACAACACAAGAAGGAACTAGTAATGTTTAGTTCAAAGAAAAGAAAAGGAAGGAAGGAAAGGAGGGAAGGAGGGAGAGGGGAAAGGAGGGAGAAAGGGGAAAAGGATGGGAAAGAAGGAAAAGAGAGGAGGGAGGGAAGAAAGAAAGAAGGGACGGAGGAAAGAGGGAAGGAAAGAAGGAAGAAAAGGAGGGAGAGGGGAAAGGAGAAAGGGGAAGAGGGAAGGAAAAGAGGGAGAGAGAGAAGAGAGGGAAAGGAGGGAGTGAGGGGAGAGAGGGAGGGAGGGAGGAAAAAAAGAAGGAAGGGAGGGAGCAAGGAAAGAAGGAAGGGAGGAGCATTCCTTATATGTTAGTCACTTTAGTAAGCTCCGGGGAAATACATGTAAGCAAGCAAGACAGTCTGTCCTGATGAATCTTAGACTGTAATGGGGAAGGACCTGGAAATAGGAGAGGAGAAAAGGGGAGGAGGAGATCCTCAAGTGAGCATGATAAGAAAATGTGGAGGCCTAGTCTCCACAAGATAAGTCCAAAGCTCACCTATTACAGCCAACAGCCCAGGAATGAATCTCAAGTTTCCAATGAGGACAAGATGGTCAGAAAAGGTCATTAAGAATTTGAATGGCTATCAGGTTGAAAAAGGATTAGGCTTGTTCTGTCTGAAAGAGAAAACTAAAAGCAATATGAAAATTTCAGCTTAATGTAAAGAAAGAATTCCTAACAATTAAAGCTGTCTGTTCTAGTATGGAATGGACTTCATAGGGTAATAATGGGTTACCCCTAATTCAAGGCCACCTGGGATTTTATGGAAGGGATTTAGGATTTCACTAAAAAGACCCTGAGATGTTTCACAGTGAGGCAAGAACTCAGCCACTCTGTGACTTGGTAATTATCTTTTATCTCGTACCTCCTTGTGCTTGGGACCTGAAAGAACACTGACTTGGAGTTAGAGGGCCTAGGTTCCAGTCTCATCCATCTCCTCCACTTAACTGTATAGCTATGAATGTTAGTCAACGTTTCTGTGTTTTCATACATAACATGAGGGTCATAATATCTACCCTGCCTGCCTCACAGTCCAGTCATAAAGATCAAATCTACTAATGTATAAAAAGTATTTTATAAACTTTAAAGCACAATATAAATGTCGGCTGTTATAATTATTAATAACTTCTCTGGGCCTTAGTTTTCCCACATGAAAAATGGAAGCTATAATGCTGTTCTAATGATGTCATAACGGTGGTTGTTTTCACTGTGCAACATGGAAAGCATTAAGGGCAGGGCCAAGGGCCCCTATAGTGGAAGGACCTGACATTCAGAGGTCAAGAGGGCATGAAGGATGGTCATCAGTTTCCAGTACTCTGTCCAATGTGGGCCAAGTACAAAACGGCCTCTAGGACTTTTATATGTGGGCAAAAGAGTTCCTGATCAGGCACGTGAATCCCAAAATCTCTGCATTTCTCTCCCTCCAGGAAGGACATCCACCCCACGCACAACACCCACACTCACCACTAAATTTTGTGTCTGACAGAGTACACAGCACAGTACTAGATTTTGTAATTTTAAATTTGATACATTTATGGCCTGATGTTTACAATGGCACAGGAGTCACTCAGGTTTCTGTGCTACCTTAAGAAGACAGAACAATTCTTTTTCCGTCTTGAGGCATGGGGGAGTTTCCCCAAACCACTGGTAAACTTCAAGGAACAAGCCAAACCCAGGTAACTGGTCCCCAGCCACCAAGCCCATGAGCCCTAGGTGCTTTCTCATTTCTTTCTCTCAGGATTTTTGGGCAAACGTGTTCATTTGAAAGAGAGCTGCCCACGGTCAAACGTGGCGCATCACTGACATGTCAGTGCAGTTGGGCATAGCAAATGAGTACTTTGGGGCGTCCGCAGGAGGCAGTGACTATGATTTATTAGACTAATTCTGGAAGCGAACTGGGCATTAACTGGGAGGGAAACTTGCTCTGTGAAAACACCCTGTCTTGACCTCAGCAACATCTCCAAAACAACTTCATTAACTCTAGCCCTGTGCATTGCACAGATAGATGCATGAGGGCTGCCTTGAAGTCTTAGGGAGAAGCAAAGGCTGCCAATTTCATTATCCACAGCCTACTCCTTCTCAAGAAAAACTTGGGAAAGCATTTTATTTATAGAGAACCACTCTGACTTTTTTCTCTCTTTCTTTCATCCTCTCTCTGTCTATCTCCTTCCTCATCTCTGAGAGAGAATGAACAAGGCTACCTCTTTGACTCCAACCATCCACCCAACAAATGGAGTTTGAAGTTAAAGCTGGCATTGAAGTCAAAATCATTTGGCCTTGACATTACATGGGCTTGCCATGGAGAAGGTTCTGATGCCAGGTGGGATTATGACTTGAAATGTGCAAAGAGAATTCTCCTAAAACCAAGGGCCTTCCCCCTTCCTCCCTGTTAGGATTTCTGGCAATATAAAGCAGGGGGAGATCCAGAGGCAAGAGAATAAAGATTATGACAAGACAAGGATTCTGGGATCAGACTGCCCGCCACGTTGCCTAAATGCATCATTTTGCCTGATTTGTTTAGTTTTCATAGTACACCTAGACATTGGTTCACAACTTAACTCCTTCTCTTCCATGTCAAAAAAGTTTAATGATTTTAGGAAGAGGACAAGGAGAAGAAAAACCTTTTTTGTTCATTTCAAGAATTTTAGGAGCCCAATTATAGAATCTTTGGGAAAAACTAGCTAATTGCTTAATTATAGTTTATTTACAATCCTTGGAGAGAGGTTTGTTCCTGGAGAGGGAACTCTGTAGTAAGAGAGTGGGATGGACAGGCAGGAGTGTTTCCAAATGGAATGTTTTTCTATGGTTTCTATAAAGCACTCATTGTTCCTCGGGCCTAGAAAATACTCATTTGTCACTGTACACTTAGCCAACCTATGTATCACCCGCAGGTTAACTCTTCACAAGGCATACGCTAATTTCCATACAAGAATTCACAAGAAAGAATCTCCACTGGGGAGAGAATCAAGCCAGATGAGATACAACTTTAAGAGAGCCCTGGCCACAGGAGAATGAGGGCAACTGGGATGGGAACTGGATGGTGTCCAGCCACCGTGGGTGCATTCCAGACCAGTATACTTTTATAGGAAAGAATAGCTTAATTATTGCAAGATTCTAGCTTCAGAAGTAGAAGAGACTTTAGTGGTTCAAATGCATTTGACACATTTTCCTTTGAAAAATAAATAGAGGGGGCAGCTGGGTGGCACAGTAGATAGAGCACTGGCCCTGGAGTCAGGAGGACCTGAGTTCAAATCTAGCCTTGATACTTAGTACCTGTGTGACCCTGGACAAATCAAGTCACTTAACCCTGATTGCCTCCCCTCTCCCCGCTCCGAAAGAAAGAAAGAAAGAAAGAAAGAAAGAAAGAAAGAAAGAAAGAAAGAAAGAAAGAAGAAGAAAGAAAGAAAAAAGAGGCCCAAAAAGGTATAGGGATTATCCAAGGTCACACAGCTAATAAGTGGCAGAGCCAAAGTCATGCACTCAGGCTGATGCATCAAAAGAGCATAGTATTTAGAGCAGAGAAGCCACATTGGAAAACTGCCTCTGCTCATTACTACCCATGTTGACCTTGGGCAACTCACTTAACCTCAGTTTTCTCCTGTGTAAAATGAGGGTCATTGGACTAGATTGCCTTTACAATCTCTGTGGATTCTAAAATCTATTGCCCTCTGACTCCAAATTCAGCGCTCTGATCACTGTACCACATTCTCTTTCATTACAGACACAGGAGACCAAGGTTCTGTCACATGAAACAGTTCATAATGCTCTTGGTGTCCTGGCCATTGTTTTTCCTATCACCATCACTGAAAGTTACTAAAAACTAATCAATAACTATACTAATTAATAAATAACAATATGATATAATGGGGCAGCTAGGTGGCAATGGATACAGCACTGGGCCTAGAGTCAGGAAGACATCTCTTCCTGAGTTCAGATTTGGCCCCTGACACTTACTAGATGTGTGACCTTGGTCAAGTCACTTAACCCTGTTTGCCTCAGTTTCCTCATCTGTAAAATGAGCTGGAGAAGGAAATAGCAAACCACTCCAGTACCTTTGCCAAGAAAACCCCAAACGGAGTCACGAAGAGTTGGACATGATTGAAATGACTGAACAACTCCATACTCAACTCACTCCAAAGGGAAGGTTCCTGCGGTAAGCTGCAGTGCCATCGGCAGGATAACACTCAGCATGAACAAAAAAGATCTTCATCTAAATCATTGTCACGTGTTTTCTTTCCAACACGGATTGAAATAAGGCTTTCTCACCCTGTATGAAAAATGGGCAAAAGGATCCATTATTGACAGGGACACCCAGTGACCTCTATGTGGTCTCCTTTAGCTCTGCATTTAGATGTAGAACAGGAGGGTTCTGGGGGCTGGGAAGTTTGGAGGAAGGGCAGATAAGGAAAAGGACCTTTGAGAAATTTTACTTGGGAGGCTAGTGTTTAAATTTATGCTTGTGGCCATCAGCTGAAGATTTATTTCAATTGATTAACCAATTCTGCACAATTTTGTCCTTCTGTTCATCAGGATACACTAAAACATAAGAATGAGAACACAAGGCAAGAGAAGAAATCTGCTGTAAACCGTCTTTCAAGAAACAACTTCTATAAATTTCCATGAAGGAAGATGACCAATTTTTAAAAGGTGGGCCTTGCAATCTACAATAAATTTCCCTGCTTCACAAGAAGATCCTAAAAATACCAAAAAGCAGGCCCAGAGAGATCAAAAAGAGAATTTGTCTATTTGTCAGGATAAGTCTTCTTGGATATGAGCAAATGAATATCATAAAAATGACAATGAAAAAGAGACAATGGAAAGATAGGCACACTAATATATCGCTAGTGAAACTGTGAATTAGTCTAACCATTCTGGAAAGCCATTTGAAATTTAGCTAAGAAAGTAATTCAAATATCCATATGCTTTGATTCAGAGATCTCACTGCTGGACATGGGCCCTCAAGGATGTCAAAGATAGAAAGGTCCCATATACACCAAATTATTGTATATAGAGAAATATGGGAAGACTTTTCATGACCTAATGTAGAGCAAAGTAAATAGAATAGGAAAATAATATACAGAACGGATGGAAAGGAAAAAAATCTGAATTAATACATGTAAAAGCGCTTTGCAAATCTTAAAGTGCTAGCTATTATAATAAGTAAGCTTGTCCCCGGAGAAGAGAGGAGAAAATGCATTTGCCACTCTTCTTTGTAGAGGTGAAGAATTATGGAGGTGGCGCATTGCAGATACTACTGTGAAAGTCCATTGGCAGTCACCCAAATTAGTTTTGCTGAATTGCTTTTTTTTCCTTCCTTTTGTTCTTTATGGTAAATGCTGGCTCACTAACTAGGAAATGGAGGTGAGGATATATTGGGAAATGAAAATGATGCAAAAACAACATATCAGCAAAAACTAAAAATGATTGAAATGAGGATGGGCTATGGCTGATGTTGGTCCCCTAACTGCTATGGCCTCTTTCAGTCCTTTCTGCACAAGTTTGGTTAGTCACTAGAGTAACTCTGAGAGATACTCATTCTGTCAGAATCCTAGAATGTCAGAGACAGAAAGGGATCTTTCTGTCTTATTTCATTTTCCAGGCAAGAAACTAGAGTTCCTCAGCCTTCTTTGGCCCTGAATCTCATGCTCAATCCCAATATGTGCATACTGAATAGAAGTAGCTAATAAGCAAGGAGACACCACGGATGCTTTAAGGATAGAGTTCTCTGTTACTTTCAGGACAAGTTCATAGAGCACAAAAGTATTTGCTAAAAAACTATGTTTCCCATGTAATGGACTATAATAGTAGGCTTAGGTCACATTGTTCAGTTGTTTTCAGTTGTGTCCGACACTTGGTGACCTCATTTGGGGTCTTCTTGGCAAAGATAATGAAGTGGTTTGCCATTTCCTTCCCCAGCTTATTTTACAGATGAGGAAACTGAGGCAAACAGAGTTAAACAACTTGCCCAGAGTCACACAGCTAGTGTCTGAGGCCAGATTTGAATTCAGAAAGGTGGGTCTTCCTGATTCCAGGCCCAGCAGCTCTAACCACTGTGCAATCTTGCTGCACTAGGTCACATGTTTAAGGTAAATAGTAAGGGTTTGGCATAGAAGTAACTACTACTTTCCTAACGTGGACAAAGTACACAAATTCATGAGTAACATGAGGAGGTATTTAAACACTGAAGGTTTGCATTTGTACCCTTCACATTTCATTCCTGACCCATCTTTTAACAACTGGAATTATACTCTCAATTTATGTGGGACCATCAAACTCACAATTAAGCTCCGTACTCCAGGAACTTATTTTCTATTTTGAATTTTATTAGATGGTGTTCCTTTCCATTTCTTATGCAACAGTGCCATCTCCTGGACAGATGTGAACATGACATTTGGTGACAGGAAGACCAAGATTGATTCTTTTCTCTGCACCAAAGTTAGTGATTCTTTTGTAATTGTTGTTGCCTCTAAAACTATACACAGGTGGACATGGGGTGAGAGGCTTTGCAGGGCAACAGATTCATTCTAATTTCCAGTGCCCAATATTGAAGGGTACTGACCATACTCAAGAGTTGTATATAAAGTCATTCCCCAGTTGATAAATGGTTGAAGGATATGAACAGGCAGTTTTCAGAAGAAGAAATCAAAGCTATCTATAGTCATATGAAAAAATGCTCTAAATCACTATTAATTAGGGAAATGCAAATTAAAACAACTCTGAGGTACCACTTCACACCTATCAGATTGGCTATCATTACAAAAAAAAAAGAGAGAAATAACAAATGTTGGAGGAGAAGTAGAAAAATCGGAACATTAGCGCATTATTCGTGGAGTTGTGAGCTAATCCAGACATTCTAGAGAACAATTTGGAATTACCACCAAAGGGTTATAAAACTGTATATACCCTTTGACCCAGAAATGCCACTAGTAGGTCTGTATCTCAAAGAGCTCAAAGAAAAAGGAAAAGGATCTATATGTACAAAAATATTTATAGCAGCTTTTTGCAGTGGCAAAGAATCAGAACTTGAGGTGATGCCTATCAACTGGGGAATGGCAGAACAAGTTGTGATATGTGATTGTGATGGAATACCATTGTGCTGTAAGAAATTATGAAAGGAATATTTTCAGAAAAACTTAGAAAGACATATAATGGATGCAAAATGAAATGAGCAGAACCAAGAGAACATTATACACAACAATTAGCAACAGTACGATGATCAATTGTGAATGACTTAGCTATTCTCAGCAACACAAATCGAAAACAATTCTGAAGGACTTATGAAAGATGCTATCCATCTCTAGAAAGGGAACTGATGAAGTCCAAGTGCAGACTGAAGCATAATTTTCCCCCTTTTTTTTTTTTGCAACATGGCTAATATGGAAATGTTTTCCATGATTTCACATGTATAATTGATACATTCCTTGCCTTCTCAATAGGTGGGGAAGAGTCAAGCAGAAGGGAGAGAATTCAGAACTCAAATTTTTTTTTAAAAAGAGTTATATATAAACTTTTATTTCATAGTATCTCTCTTTTGCTGTCTGATGAAGGAAAGCTAAATCTAGGAAGGGAGCTGGCTGATCTTCTGGAGGAATTTAGCTCATGTATTCAGATTCACAATGGACTCCAATTTGAACTGTGTCTATTTTCCTCTCCTATATAAGTTCACATGGGACCCATTTTTTGGGAGTGTGGTACAAGTTACAAGGATAGGATTTTGTGTTTGTTTTTCTAACCCTCAAAAGTCTTGGATTTTCTCATATGGAAACTTCAAGTGCTTGACAATACTAAGGCATTTGGGTTTTCTCTATGTAAAGAGAAATAGCCAAGTTACCTCAGCTGCATTCAGCTGTGGGTAAAATTCTGGCTAAAGAAGGCCAGCGCAAGGGCCTAATGTTTGGGACCATGATGCAGAACTAAGGAAAGGAAAGTTAGTTTCATTGATTTTCCCCTATTGCCTTTAACGCTGGGCACAGATGGAGAAGGGGAAGAGGAGCCCCCAAAATCATCAGATAACTACTCATTTTTAGTACTCAGGGTTTAGAAATACAGGCCAAAGTTAGAATTTCATTACATAATACACATTTTTTTGCACTTTCCTCAGTTTTTCTTGAGCACAATCTAATGATGAACTACCATGACAACTGTCCCAAGTCTAAAGTACCCAGCACCCATTGCAAAGATAGGGAAAGGCATAGGGACTCAATCTACGATTTTATTGATATACCACAGCAGATCAGCCCCTTCTCTGCATCTCCTGATCTATGACTTGCCCAGGGTCACACAGTCAGTATGGGTCTTGAGCCTTCTATCTGTTCTGTTGCACTAGGCAATATGCCACAGCTTATTTGAAAATAAGAGCAAATAACAGAATAAGTACTTCTAATGCTCACTTGCACATTTATAGTGTGTATACTTAGGTGACGCAGTGGCTTTAACACTGAGCCTGGAGTCAGGAAGACTTGAGTTCAAATCCAGCCTTAGATGCTTATTATCTGTGTGACCCTGGGCAAGTCATTTAACCCTCTGTATGCCTTCGTTTCCTCAACTATCAAATGGGAATAAGAGCACCTGCTTCATAGGGTTATTGTGAGGATCAAATGAAGCGACATTGTAAAGCACTTAGCAAAGTGCCTGGAATGCAGTGCATTTTATAAATGCTTGCTCCTTTCCCCTACACTAGTGTAAAAGGAATTGCTAATAATTTGAGGGGGGGCAGGCTAGACTCACAATTTAATGGCTGTGTAACTACTAATGAGATAAATCAGCAATTCATCTATCATGTAAGATTACTAGAGTTGCCAAAGGCACTGAGAAGTTAAGGAACTTCCCTAATCACGTGGCCAGAATATGTTAAGAGGTAAAACTTAAATCCAGCTCTTTCCAACTTCAAGGCCAACCCTTTCTCCATTTGGGACAGTTTCCCTACAATACAAATGCATACGACAGGAAATATGTTCACCAACTTTAACACAGAAATCATGTTCAAACATAACATCCCACCAAAAGAAAATGTAAAACTCTAAGAAAGGTAAGGAAATAGCTATTGTGTAACTTTTCTTCTTCTGTTCCTTGTTTTCTCTTTATTTTCAGTGATATGCTTAGTTACATAGCCCATCACTACATACTTGTTACACTCATATGTATGTGACTGTTCTCACTCCATCATGTTCTTAGGGGTATCAGACCTGTAAAAGTTTTCATGTTTCAAGATTTTGTGTTAAATTATCAAACCTCCCCAAAGCACATATCAAATTAGCATCCCAAAGTTTTCCTGTTGAGGGCCGGCCTTGAGAGTCCAATATGGGTTTAAGATCCAGGACAGAGTTTGACCTTTGCCCAGGCTTTAACCTGAAGGGCTCAATAATTAAGAAGCAGGGCTCTCCAAATCTCTCCCTGCTAGGAGGCTCCCGAGACATTCCTTCCCACTCTTTGAACCTTAGATTTACATATTCACTCCTCTATACAGGCACCAGGAAAAAGCCTTGGAATTTACAACCCTATCTAGGAACTCTGATAAGGAGGAAATGTATGTTATCACATCCTTAGCAGACGTTTTGGGGAGTGTCTCACAGGGAGGACTTTTTGAAGTTAGGATGGATTTTCTCTATATATCCTGCACCCTTAGATGAATAAATTGAGTCAGTTCC